AGTTTTTGTATTAAAAGTGCTCGAAAAAACTCAAATAAGTAAGGACTGTGAGTGTAATTGAACAAACAAAGATAAAAAAATCATAATAATTTATAAAACTACCGCATTACTGCAAATAGATTACGTTAAAAACAAAGAGTAGTAATTAAACTGGATATCGACTTTCCGGGGCAAATCGATCCAATACCTGAAATTTTTTAAAGGTATTTTCACGTATTGCATATTAAACTTGGCTAATTATGAAAAAAACGTTCACTTAAAGTAAAAAGTAGCCATTTAGAGGTCGGCAACTATGTAATAGTAACAATAACACGCATCCATTTCAAAAAATTTTAACTATTCTAAAATTAAACAAATGAAGTCAGAATTCAACAAAAAATTGAATAAAAATGAAGAAAAATGGTAAAAACTTGCTAGTAATTAAACGTAATTAGACTCAAATTAGAAAATAACTCATTTTTCACTAATCATAAAAAGCCGGCTTAAATGAATAGAACATTCACTATTTGAAAAATTTGAATAAAAAAAAAAAAGACTAACAAAGTTGTCATTTCCAAAAGCAGAAGAAGACACAAAACTTTGTTCTTCACTTAAGTGACGAAATAAAAGAGCGATGGAGCACTTGAAATGTCATACTCATGCTATGGTAATTATTAAAGCCCTTGCATCAACTAACTATCTACACTACTTAAGAAAGAATCTAAGTATAAATGTCATGCATTTTTTAGCAGACAAGCGTACCTGTCTCACTCCTGGCATATTTAAAAAACTTCCGATGATCGGCAACTGCCGTGAAAAGTTGATCGCTACAGGAAGAAACCCCCTAAAGAGAAAAATTTGCGAAAACCTTATTTAATACTTGAATAACATAACAAAATTACAACAACTCAAAACCCTCAAAACAAAAAAAACTCAACCGATATCTATAAAATTCAAAAGTAACTAAAAGAAATAAAAAGATTTCAGAAAATGCAGAAAAAAACTAACCCAAAAAGTAATAAAAATCCCCAAATCTCAGCAATGATTCCAACAAGTGGCCAACCAATGAGAACTACAAAAATTCCTCCGAAAAATAAACAAGTAGCTTTGATCTTGTGCCACTGGAAGAAGAAGCCCACTGTGCGTTGTATACCGATCACCAGGACCAATCCGGTAATAAACATCAACTGAAGACTTCTGATTATATTGTTAAACTATATAACAACTGTACAACCAGTGCGGCTAGTGAAAATTGTATAATTCAATTTTACAACTGCATTTTGAAGCCTTTTTGTATTACAGAATAAAGGAAAAAAATCCAAAATAAAAAATAAAATTGGCAACTACATATTTCCCGCAATTTTGAATAATTCTGCTGAAAAACAATTAAAAAAAAATGCTAACGTTTGGTAAGTTGAAACAAACTAACATTGCCAATGGCAAGCAAAGCTCCATCTAAGAAGAGGATTATCCCCAACGTAAAGAAGGTCACTCCAAACAGTGTCAACCCAATACCAATCTCTGTAAATTAGCAATAACTTGAAAGAACTGGTCTTATTTTCAAATCAAAAGTAAATGAGGAACTTTTGATAATATAATTTGAATAAAACAAAAGCATCAGGACAGTACATAGATGCAACCAAAATATCAGAAAATAAAAAAAGAAAACTTACGTTTCGTATTGCTTATTTCAAAATTCATGACCATTTTAACGGCAAAG